GAGAGAGAGAGAGAGAGAGAGAGAGAGAGAGAGAGAGAGAGAGATCAATTTCCAAGTGAAATGCCTTTCCACTAACATTAGTTGTTTTGCAATATAAAGGAAACTTTTCTATCATAAAACATGTGGCTTGGGGAGGGCCTAGAAGTTGTAACTGATAATTTACACAGCTTTCTGTGCATCCCATCAAGTGAATTTATTTAGTTGCATGGACTGGGGCTTATGAGACAAGTGGTCAGGAAAGGTGATGAGAAGGGGTTGAGACCAGTGGAATTCTTCCTCAAAGGCTAAAGTCAGCCTTGATATTAAAGCAAATGGACCTTAGGTGGAAAAAAGGTACATTTTCATTTTTCCAGACTTTGAAAAAATAATTTGTGTTCAGATGGCACCTTTAATCACGAATAACTTTTGGCTAAGTTCCAGGCTGATTCTTCTGGCATGGAGAACGCTGAGATCATACCCTATATTCAGCCTATAGAAGAAGTAGCTCATTCATTTATGAAAGAGGGGGGAAATGAAGCATATTTGAACAGTTTCATAACAAAACCGTACTAGGGTAAAAAAGGAAGGACACCCTATCTTTTCGGAGTTATAGAAAGGTACTATTCTAACTAAAGTGACTTTTTTTTCACTCTCAGATTGTTTCACAATAAACTAAGTAACTTGCATAAATCCTAAGGCAACCTTCTATTTCAGATATATAAATGAAAGGCAGATAGATTTTGTGATTTACCTAAGGCTAATTTGAACTAAAAGAGAGGCGAAGGAAAAAAAGCACCTCTCAAAGCAGGAATTTGATCTCTCAGAGCTGAATTTAATCCACACTCAGGCCAAATATAATCCTCCAGTATGGAAATGGTCCAGGTCACCAGAGCTAGCATGTTCTATCTTTTCCAAAGAGCCTGAGGCAGTTTAGTGACAAGCAATCAGAACCTTGATTCTGTTTCTCAGCTGAAAGGCCAGCATCATCTGACAGGCACATCACTCCACCATAGGACTGTGGTTCAAGTCCATCTGAAGGAAGTGTGCTCTCCCTTGATTCATCATAGCCTCTCTCATCACTTATTCCTTGGAGGTCTCCTATTCAAACTTCTTAAATTGTCTGTGCATGGTGGTGCACACCTGTAGTCCCAGCACTTGGGAGGCAGAGGCAGGCAGATCTCTGTGAGTTTGAGGCCAGCCTGGTCTACATAGGGAGTTCCAGGACAGCTGGGGCTACAGGGAGACCCTGTCTCAAAAAGACAAAAAAAAAAAAAAAAAAAAAAAAAAAAAAACAAAGGAAAATCAAAAAATTCTTAAACTGGAGATTTGGGCCATACAATTTTGGGTGGCAAGGTTGAATCTTGGCTTTGTGTCATGTGTCAAGCTTAAGCATACCTCCAAACTTTAGGTGTGTGAAGGGCTTGGGAGATTACCCTGTACATTAGAAATTGAAACCCAGCTGCTGTGGAAATCTGAAAGCCATTATTTTTTCATGTTTTTATCTCTTTACCCTCATTTTGTTTGGGAACGCAATGCACAGAGGAACATCTGTGAACAGAAATAAACAACTTGCTCTCGACTGATCTGCCTTTTTTTTTTTTTTGTCTTTTTGAGACAGGGTCTCTCTGCAACCCCAGCTGTCCTGGAACTCCCTATGTAGACCAGGTTGGCCTTGAATTCGCAGAGATCCACCTGCCTCTGCCTCCCGAGTGCTGGGAATAAAGGCGTGCCCCACCACGCCCTGCTTCTGCCTTTTGAGTTATCAAATGTGAATACTTTTGGCACTCAGATGTGGAGAAGTGGAGACTGCTGGGAAGCCAGCCACAAATTAGGAGGAGTTGGATCTTCCAACATCATCTACCTGAATAGTCCAGGAGTTTAAAATGAATGAGCCCTGCCCCAGAGTTGATGTAGCTTTTGAAACACATTTCAACTTAAGAGATATAAGAAGGCTTTTTCAGAATTCTAAAGAATCCCGGATGTGCTTAAAAAAAAAAAAAAAAAAAAAAAAAAAGAGCTTAACCCTGTCCATATTCCCTGGATTTTCATCCTTTTCTTCTCTATCTAGTCTGTAGATTTTGATTTTGACTGTTTCCCAGGCTGTCTCAAGTCAGGACACTTTTAAGGAAGGCAGAATCAAGATAAGGGGTAGTGGGTGAGACGTGGCAACTCTTCCAGAGGCAAATCAATACAGCAGAGCTGCTCCGGGTAGGTTTTGCTAGGGCTTAAGTCAGGTTGTCAACTCAAACACAATGGGCTTTGTTACTCCTGTGTAAAAGAGGAAATGGAGCAGTTTTTGGCCTCCTCAGACTATTGTAGGGCAGGATGGCAATTCCAGGCACAGGTTAGCTATTCAGGGTTCCCAGCAAGTTAATTAGCTGTTTCTGAAATGCTGGAAATGTTCAGCATGGTTATCCTGAAGCCGGTCTCCCAGCTTTAAGCTTGGTGGGAGGGGTCTGAGTGTGTGAAGAGGGGGATCAATTTGGGAAACTGAATAGTGCCTTTTTGGCGAGAGAGCCCAACACCTGTGATTCATGTCAGAAATCACACACGCACTCTCAATTCCAAGGAAAGACTTTTGAGGCTTGAGTACTGGAAGTGGAGGGCTTGCTGCGACGCCTCGCTACTTGCTTCAGGAATGGGGGGAGTTACTCTGGGTTCAAAAGTCCTGGGGCGGGAAGCAGAAGAGCGGCAGTAAGCCTAAAAAATGCTCAAGGCTCAGGTAACCGGCAGGGAAGGTGTGCTGGGGGCGACGGTCACCTTGTCAGAGCGGGAACGGTCCTGCAAGTGGGCTAGGCGACCTTTGCTGCACTGGATAATCAGTCACGGGGACGGGGGAGGGGGCGGTCCGAGCAAGGTGAGGAGTTTTGAGACCAGGGACTCTGCCCGGAGACTGCTAAGCCGAGGGCGCAGCGTCAGCAGCGCCCTCCCCCGTGGCCAGTCTCCGGGCAGAGCAGCGGTCCTCCCCTCCTCACTGGTCCGTGCGGACGGAGCCTCAGCTGGGGCGCCGCCTGTCTCCGGGCAGCCAGAGCCCCCTACGCTCGCCCGGCCTGTCAGTAACCGCTGTTTGCGCCTTCTTTCTTTTTTTTCCTGCCTTCTTCTTCTTCACACTCCCCCCCCCCGCCCACCCCGCGGCCTTTGTCCCGCTTAGTAACTGAGGACTGACCAATCGCCGCCTTACCGGCCGGCACCGGCTCTCTTCTGATTGGCCGGCTCAGGGCGCGCAGCCGTCTCTCGCCCTCAGCCGGAGAGAGGCAGACAAAAGACACAGGCTCCAGGCTCAGGCACCCGGGACTAGCCAATCACCGCCCACCTTCCGTCTCCCCCCTCTCTTCTCTCCCCTCCCGCAGCCGGCCGGGCTCTCGTGCTCCCAGCGCTGACTCCTGGCGAGCGGCCAGCGCCCGGACCGTACCATTCGTATCGAGGCTGGGGGTGAGAAGGAGGAGTGATCGAGGAGCCGAGTCCCACAGGGCAACGGGGAAAGTTCGAAGTCGGAGTGGGGGACAGTGTTCCTAACGATTTCTCGGCAACGTGACAATCCCCGGCCGCCGAGAAGGGGTAGTGTGCAGAGCCGCGGTGGGGACGCCCCCCCTGCCCCGCGCGGTTGGGTGGCGCCTCAGCGGGGGGTGGGTGGGGGCGGGGAGGAGTCCCTCCAGCGCAGTTAAAATGAAACTCTAGCGCCGGGCGTGGGGCAGAAAGCGAGGGCAGCGGGGCTGGCGGGTTCTTTGCTCCCGGCGGGCGTGCAGCGCCGAGCCTGGCGGACCGGACTTGGACGGGTCGCCGTTGCGGAGCTGCGGCTGCTTCGGCTCCGAGCCTGACCGGAACAGCGTCCGAGCCCCAGCCCAGAGGGAATCGCTCCCTGCCGACCAGTGGGACCCTGAAACTTGAACGCAGTCCCCACCCTCTGTCGCTTTTGTCGCTTCCCCAGCTTCTCTCCGACGGGTTATTTTTTTCTCCCCTCCTCTTCTTTATTCTCCTCGGTAGGACACAAAAGTGGCTTCGGTTGACAGACTAGGAGGCGGTGGGAGCGCTTTCTTTTGGAGAGCGACCGTGTAGGAGGATTTGGGGAAGCTGGTTTTAACTTGGCTCTGCTTCCCGAGCCGCCCTCTAACCCTCCGAGGAGAAAACTCCGTACCTGAAAGTTCGGGGCATTTTGTTGGGTGCTGGAGGAGAGAGGGAGAGGACCTTGTCCTCATCTTAGTAGTTGGCTGGACTTGTACCGGCCGTTGGAAACCCAGAAGTACATTCCTAGTGGAACTTTCGCATATATAAATATATATATTTAGATTTTAAAATATCAGATAAAAGATATATATATGCTTTCTATATATTTCCTGACGACCTGTCCCTGACAGCGCGATGTACAATACGGTGTGGAGTATGGACCGCGATGACGCAGACTGGAGGGAGGTGATGATGCCCTACTCGACGGAACTGATATTTTATATTGAAATGGATCCTCCAGGTACTTGAGAGAAAAATAACCCAAATCTTGTGATGGGTTTGATTTGTGTTTAATCAGACCCAGGTGATGTTTTCAGACCAGAAGTATTCCGGGGTGCGCCGGGTTCGGAATGAGGGGCAGATTCACAGAGCTGCAGTAGGACTGCTTCTGGTTTACAGCTTTAAAGTTTGCAGTTAGGACCCTAGTCCTATTGTCTTGCGGAGGTGGAGGTGGGGGCAGAAGTGAGGGTAGGAGGGAAGACCCGGTTTTGGTTTTGCCTTTGCGTGTCGTTCAGGTTTTTGTTGGCCCTCCACTCCGCCCCCCATTCAAGATTTTTCTACCTGCTAGAGACGTTTTATAATCCGCCCTTGAAGATAGTCTTTCCCTGTGGGGGTTCTTCAAAGCTTATTTCATGCTTCGTCTGATTTGGTTCTTGTGTTTTGTGTTTTACCTTGGTTAACTTCAGAAACGGAGTTGCTTTGTTATTCATTCTGTCTTTCTCGCCCAGAAACGGAGCTGGTTAGTGATTTTCAGGGAATGGGCGGTTTTCATTCATTTCGGTCTGAGGTTTTTTTTTCCCTCTATTACAGTCTCGGATCTGTGTGCAGTATTTTATTACTCGTTTATTAATTTATGGTAATTTAACCTAATTTGGGGGATAGAGCTGAGTATAATTTCAACTCTTAAAGTAAAATAACCTTCCTCTTCCTGTGACTGATATGTACATATATGTAATATCATATATGATAGATTCCTGTGCACATATGTGTAAAGTGTACATAGACTATATTTTTTGGAGAGCTTTGAGGTCATTAGAGACATTTTGTGTATCTGATAGGGAAGAGAAAAGAAAGGGAAAAGAAAAAGTTTTTTTTTTTTTAAAGTGTGTCTCATTTTATGTTTATTAGCTGTCAAATGTTCAAACCCTCTTTGCAGTTACACACAGTGCTCTATGGAATGATTTGGAATAAGCAGAGGGCCTTTGTGACTCCTTGTTCTTATTGAGGATAAATTTGATGTCTTTTAAAAATGTGATATAGTTAAGCCTACAGAATAAAGTGTGTGTCATTGGGGAGCCTTGCTTATTGTAAGACTGTATTTTTGGAAACGCTTGAAAGAAATGGAGTCCATGCAAGTGTAATGAAATATAAATGTCTTATAGAAGGTATGTAGAAATTATTTCTTGTGTCCTTGTGAACAGCAGTTCAATTAGCAATAGTGTTAAACACTAATACTAATATTGGTAACCCTTTTTTTCACTCTTAATGATCACTAAGGATTTTTCTCTTTTCTGTCATTTTTAGAAATGTCTTGATTTATTTTGACGGTTGTGACTGTAATCCAGAAGCAGCTTTTCAGTGCTTTGTAAAGTTTGTGAGATCTGCCACCCATCTATTGTGTTTTCCCCTTTGTTTCACCCCCGATGGTAAAGCATCACTTCTGTTAGATACATTTGTCATTCATGTGCTCAGAAATCTAGTACATCGTTGGTATCTCTCCTACAAAAAGTAAGGTTAATAATTCTAGATATATTTGTAAGAATTCTATATTCAAATTGCCTTAGAATCATGATGTATCTCATATCTTGCCTTGCAGACATACAAAGGGAATTTGTTGGGCGGGGAGTGAGGAGGGTAGAAAATGAAGGTAAGATAAAAAAATCTTAGTTTTATGAAAAATATTGGCTAAGTTGAGTTGACAAAAAAATTTTTTTGAGACTAGGTCCCACAAGATAGTTGAGGCTGACCTACAACTCTGTGTAGCCTAGGCTGGCTTCTAAATTGTATGCTTCTTGCTTCATTCTCTGAAGTGCTGAGATTACAGGCAGGTGCCACTATACCTGACCCAGAAATAATTTTTGAAAATTGACTGTTATAATTATGTAAAGATGGATCCCATAAGATTATACAGAAAATTCTGATCTGAACTTTATTTTCCATTGAAATAAACTTGTATTTAAGGTGTTCATCCTTGAGTGAAATTGTATATACTAAATTTCTATTCAGAACACTGAAAATACATATATGCTGTTCGTGCTATCCTTACTATAGAATATGGTTATTCCTAATAGTTTCTCAAAAAGAAATTGCACTTAAATATACTGAAACATTGGCTATAAAATGAAACGAATGTTTTTTGTTTTCTTTTTTCTTTTTCTTTTTTAAATAGGGTCTCCCTAGTAGCCCCAGCTGGCCTGATCTGTAACCCTTACGTAGACCAGACTGGCCTTGAGCTCAGAGATCCCCTGCCCCTGCCTGGGCCTCTGGATGTGTGCCACCAGGCCTGGCCCCAACATAGTTTTTTTTATTTTTGAAACAGTGTCTTCCTGTAGTCATAGCTGACTTGGATCCCATAGAGATCTACTTGTCTCTGTCTCCTGAGTGTTGGGATTAAAGGCTGGGCCACCATGCCTGGCTAAAATGAATGTTTTTTTTTAATGGAAATAATGTGAATGTCAACTTTGTTTTGTGTAATAAGTGAAGATTTGAAACATGTAAAACTCTGAGTAAACTGTCAGTGAAGTGGTTGGTAGCATGCTTTGTACCTGTCTTTTCCTAGCCTCCCACCCTAGAGAAAGCTTTTATTTCCTTTCTGGACTGGGTGATTAGCTTTCTGTTTTCTCCTTTCTATTCCATTTAGTCTATAATTTTAATGTTAAAATATGTGATGATTTACCCTATAAATCCTATAATGCTTTAAAAACCTTCCAGTGGCTTCATTTGCCTATTAAAAAATACAGCCTCAGATTACCTTTGCATATAAATCCATCTCTTTTTGCTTCTCACCTAATTTTCTAGTGCATTCTCCTCTTGGAGTCTATAATAACATCTATAGAAGCTATCTTTTATTTTCTGTCCCTTCAGTGTATACTTTTATCTGCTTCCCAGAATGCTTGCCGCTTCTAAGTGTTATTTGTTGAACTCTTGTATATGTTTAGAACTCATATGCCCTCTTTTCCAGAATATCTACTTCCTGGTGCCCTTTGTTAGCAGTCAGCCTTCCTTTCTCTCTCTCTTAGAGCACTTCTGTCAGGTGGAACTTCTTTATTACGTTTAGTGGCTCTTGCATTTATTTACATATATTTCCCCCCCCCTTGGAATTGTCTTCCTACCTGGGTAGAAGCTTCTTAGCTTGCTCAGGGTCCTGGAAGTAGTAGACAATTTAATCAATATATATTGAACTAACATACAACTGAGGAGCACTGCTTCTTTCTAGATTTAGGTGCTGTTGTACTTAAGGTCTTCGATTACCTCCTTGGTCATTGCAATGCCTAACTTTTTGAGTTAGGAATTTATTCATTAGGGCCCTTAATTGGACTAGTACCAGTTTTTGTGTGTGTTTTCTTTTTGATTTTAGACTGTACCAAAAATGTAAAATTTTAAATTAATTTTCAAAAAATCTCTGTTAAGCCTATCTTTTTTTTTTTATAAAAGATTTTATTTTATTTTGAATTATGTGTATGTATATGTGCACATGAGTGCAGGTGCTCTCAGAGGCCAGAAGGTATTGGATCCCCTGATACTGGAGGTACAGGCAGGTTGAGGGCTGACTGCTGTGGCGCTGGGAACTAAACTTGGGTTCATAGCCATCTCTCTAGCCTCTATCTTTGTCTTTTCAGTAACTACTCTCATTCATTTCATCATTTTCGATAACGTCATCCTTGTTTCTTTCTCTTTAAGAATTCTTGGTTATATTTCTGTTTGGTTATTGTGTGTAGGTGCATGTGTGCATACATGCCACAGTGTGTGTGGAAGTCAGAGGGCAAGTTGTGGGAGTTGGTTCTCTCCTACAATGTGGATCCCAGGAATTAAACTCAAGTTGTTAGGCTTGTTGGCAAGTGCCTTTACATGATCAGTTATCTTGCCTGCTCCTGAAATTCTGAAAGTTTCTGGTAACTGAATGGATTCCTAGGTCTACTGTCACTATATATTTATTTTGAGTAGATGTGGGGGGTGGGGCACATGCATGCCAGCATCTGCCTATGGAAGTTAAGAACAACTTATGGGAGTTGGTTCTTTCCTTCCACCATATGGATCTTGGAGATCAAACTCAGGTTGTCAGCAAGTGCCTTTACTTATTGACCCATTAATATATATATTTTTTATTTTATGTGTATGAGTGTATTGCCTGCATGTGTGTAAGTGCACTGTGTTGTGCAGTGCCCTCGGATGTTAGAAAGAAGGCATTGGATCCCCTGGAACCAGAGTTACAGATGGCTTTTAGCCTCCATGTGGGTGCTGGGAATTGAACCTGGGTCCTCTGAAAGAGCAGTCAGTGCTCTTAAACACTGAGCCATCTCCAGCCCCTGGGTTTAATATTTTAATGTTTCTGTATTTTCTGGCATCTGTAGAGATACTAAACTATTGATGGTGATGAAATGTAAAATTACTTTAGGAAGCTGGGTGTGGTGGCACATGCCTTTAATCAGCACTCTGGAGGCAGATACAGGTGAGTTTGAGGCTAGCCTGGTCTACATAGTGAGTTCCAGAACAGCTGGGGCTACAGGGAGACCCTGTCTCAGAAAAACAAAAAAATTGCTTTAGGAAGATTGGAGTGAGAAGTATATCTCGGTATAGTGCTTGCCTAGCATATATAAATGCCCTGGGTTTGATCCCCAACACCAGGTAAACTGGATGTGGTCACACAGGCCTGTAATTCTAGGCCTGTAATTCCTCCTGACTCTGCAGGAGGATCAGAAGTTCAAGGTCATCTTCAGCTACATAGAGTTTAAGGATCAGTTTGGAATATAGGACCTTTTTTCCCTTAAAAAAAAAAAAAAAAAAAAAAAAAAAGGAAAAATGGAGCAGGGCAGGATGGCTCCTGGGATACAGGCTCAGTTCCTAGCAACCACATGGCAGCCACAACTGTCTATAACTCTAATTGCAGGGGAATCCAACACCACCTTCTGCCTCCATGGGCATTGCACAACACAGGTGTACTTACATACATGCAGGCAAAACACTCATACATATGAAATAAAAAATAAAAAAACTTAAAAGATTAAAGATTGTAGCTCTGTGTGGTGGCACAATCCTTTAATCTTGGCACTGCATACTTTTTATTTTATTTGGGTTGGAGAGATGGTTCAGTGGTTAAGAACACTTGATGCTCTTCCAGAAGACCCAGGTTCTGTTCCCAGCACGTATATGGTGGCCAACAACTGTCAGGAACTCCAGTTCAGGGGAGCCGATGCCCTCTTCTGACCTCTGTGGGCACTGCACGACATGGGTTCACTTACACACATGAGGGCAATACACTCATACACATAAAGGTAATAAAATAGTTTTAAAAAATTTAAATTTTAAAAT